TGTTTCTTCCTCAAACCAGTTCAATGGCCCTCTTTTGCTGCAGTTTCTGCATAAAACTTCTTTATACCAAAAATTTGCTGTTGCAATGTCAGCTTGAATCTACACTGGTGCTCATTTTTCAGTCATCATTTTGTAAACTCTCATGCTAGAGTTCTGAATTAATGGTCTCACGTTTGTCTTCCTTGGATACTTGTTCCATCATGACTGCTACTTTTAGTGCTTTCTTTAAGTCCAGGTTACTTCTGTCAATCATGTCTTCTGGATTGCTTCACAACTTAAACCAAACACCAGTCTGTCCCTGATAGCGTCACTTTAAGTTGTATCCAAATTCGCTGAATTCTGCTAATGTCTTTAAAATTACAACAAACTGCAGAGGTATTTTCACCATTATGCTGATCATGTTTGTGGAATCTAAACCCCTCTGCAATCACCAATGGTTTTGGTGAAAAATGTTTGTGCAGGATTCCTACTAGCTCTTCATAGGTTTTGAAAGTAGTTTCTCTGGCTGTACCAGAACTCCATAGAAGATTAAAAGGTTCCCCTTCATAAACGCATATGTAGGGACAACTATATCTACTTCAGTTTTTTTAGGTTTGACCAGAATAATGGACTCTCTCTATGTAGTCATAGAGTCATAAAGTCATACAGCACGGAAACAGACCATTGGGTCTAATCAGTGTATGCTGAACATAATCTCAAACTAAAATAGTCCCACTTGCCTGCTCCTGGCCCATATCCCTCTAAACCTTTCCTATTCATATACTTATCTAAATGTCTTTTAAACATTGTAATTGTACCTACAGCCACCACTTCCTCAGGAAGTTCATTCCACACGTGAACCACCCTCTGTGTAAAATAACTCCCCCTCATGTCTTTTTTAAATTTATCTCCTCTCACCTTAAAAATGTGCCCCCTAGTCTTGAAATCCCCCATCCTAGGGAAAAGGCAACTATTGTTAACTCTATCTACACTCCTCGTTGTTTTATAAGCTTCTATAAGGTCGCCTTTTAACATTCTACGCTTCAGTGAAAAAAGTCTCAGCCTATCCAGCCTTTCTTTATAACTCAGACCCTCCATGCCCGGCAACATCCTGGTAAATCTCTTCTGAACCCTCTCCAGCTTAATAATGTTCTTCCTACAACTGGGTGACCAGAACTGGACACAGTACTCCAGAAGAGGCCTTACCAATATCCTGTACAACCTCAACGAGACTTCCCAACACCCATAGTAAAAGGACGGAGCAATGAAGGCAAGGGTTCTAAGTGCTTTTTTAACCACCCTGTCTATATGTGATGTAAACTTCAAAAGAATTATGTACCTGCACCCCTAGATCCTTCTGTTCTACAACACTACCCAAAGTCCTACCATTAATTGTATACACCATACCCTTGTTTGTTGTACCAAAATTCAATACATTACATTTATCCAAATTTCATTCCGGTTCTCTGTTCTTTCATCATATAGTCTGATGGAACCAAAATTTCCCACCATTTCCTTATAAATTGGAAAGCATAGCATAATGTACCACAGAAAAAGAGTTAACATTATGTTGCTTCTTCTAATTTAAAACAAGGTATTTCCAAGGCTGCCTGTTTCCATCCGAGTCTTAGCTCATGTCATTTCCATCCATGTAGGATATTCCTTATTCATGGTGTTCCTTATTGGTGGAGCACATGGTGAGCCTCTTCTGCACTGTTCACCTCTTCCCTTTTTTGCTGACTGTACCTATTTCAGTATGGTGATGGTGTCTTCTGATTTATTTTCTTCTTTTTATTGAAGTGCCTCCAAGATTTTCAGTGAGGACCACAATTCTTTTTTTGATGAATCAACGGAATGACCAGTGGATCTCAAAGCAATTTTCATCCTTGTTGCCAGTTTACTTCCCGTTTTATGTACCAAGAAGGACCAGGAGGCCAAAATACTAAACAGAGGAACTTTATTCTGGAGATGTTACTCCACAAGGATAAACTAAGCTTTTTCCTGCCCAAAATGGCCGATGACATTGTAATATTATAGACGTCAGAACTTTAATACCTGTTCATAGGTTGAACAAATCAACAAAGATAAACTGTTACACACCGAATGCAGCAGCAATAATAACTGTCTGGCATAAGCTGTTAAGGAACAAAGACAGGCTGTCACATACAGATTGAAAGCAATTAGCCATGTCTTGGGAAGGCAGTCAAGACGACATAAACAAAATTACCTTGACACCTACTTCATAAACTGGATGCTTTATTGCTACAAGGACAAGGATTGCCCTACTGAAGAATTTAAGGGCATGTGAACAAGGGTTAAGGTCCCTCGTACCCCTCTCATCTCACTTTTGGTGCTGACTACTGGGCCAATGAAGGAGAGGCCTGTGTGCATATCAGCAGGTACTGAGGGTGCTGGACCTGGTTTTCCATGGCAGCTGCCAATCTGTCCATGGAGACAGCCAGATTCTCACATGCCAGAGGTAGCATGGTTCAAATAGATGTCTCCAACACTTGAGTTAGTTTGGCCAGTGTGTCCAACAAACCTGCCTGCTGTTCACAGGTCTACTTGTGCTGAAGTCTTTAATGGCGAACACCATGGAGCACTGACCTGACTGGGGCTGACCAGGCACCAGTCTCTGGCAGTCCTCTAAGTGCTAGCAACCTGGGGCATTTCTTCCTTGACCAGTTTGGACACTGTCAATGGTGTGCTCATCAGAATGTATTCCTGACCTGTGATCTAGCTAATGTATTCACAGAGGTGTTAGTAACTGAGCTGGCAAAAGAACTCCGATTGCCCGGGCTCCCTCTAAGGGATCTGTTGCTTCTGCTGTGGTTACATCTGTTCCCCGATGTCCTTGGAAAAGGAGCATATGGTGTCTATTACTAACCTGACAGCTTTTGGAAGGAAGTAGGTACTGGAGGTGCTGGAATGCATTATCCACCTCCCCCCACCGCCGCCTGCCCCCACACTGTTAGATTAAGT